CACACGACGGGGGTTTCGATTCTCGACGTGTGGACGACCCCAGGGAAGGACTAAAGTCCTACCTTACACCCATCAAAGGACATAGTACATAAAGAATGATCGTAGAGAAATCGGAGTGATAGAAATTGACTGGTATAAAAATCTGAATGTAATTCGAAGATAGCAAAATCGGCGAATAGCCATACACCTATAGATGAATATTAAGTCGCGCAGGAACTAGCACGAAATGGAATTTGCTGCCAGTATTTAAAGTCAGCAGAGACGAGACTGGGCTTGCCGTTGCCCGTGTTGTAAACCCCAAATGAGGCACCTTTAAAGAAGAATCCTCTGCGCAAGGATCAGTGCACGAAGACCAACGTTGGTGCATATACGTACCCAGCAGGGGCGACGGAGAGCGCAGAACTGTCTATTGTAGCAGGGAAGATGAACTCGGCATCGTCACCTTCCGCATAACCTAGCCTATACGAGGCGGGCCCGGCCAGGACTCTGAACCGCACGTTTGCGTCGGTTGTGGTGAGCTTGTATCGTCGGACCTACGAAGATGGTGTGGATGCAATGGAAGCGCTTGAACATAGTACGAGGACGGACCGTTATGACCGTGGCATTCGCAGTCGTCAACGCCCACGGGCCAACCTGCTGATTCAATACAATTGTCCGCAGCACTATATACCTCCCATCATCGCCACCCGCCACACCGATCTCGTTGTGCAGCGAGTCACCATAATACACGCTCACGCCCGCCTCAGTCAGGTTGCTCGTCGGCTTGAAGCCATCCAAATGCGTCTCAAACATCTCGGTATATGCTGTCTGTTTGCGTAGCAGCAACGCGGCACTGTCACGGTCGCCTGGGGCGTATGAATTAGCGAACAGACGGAGGTAGCCGTGTCGGGCGGCGAGGGAATGGAAAGCCTTGTACGGACTGCGTACAAAGTAGAACGAATTGTCGAGGGTGTCTGATGTGAAATCGTTGGTGTATGGGGCCGGAGCAGAGACGTCGATCAGGACGTCAGGGATGTGCTCTGTTAAAGGTAGATCATTATTAAAGACGGGCCATCCGTCTTCCCAGGTAACGGGGAATAAGAATGTTTCGCGACCTTCACAAAGAACTCGTCACGCGCGATTTACAAACCGAGTCGCCCATACCTAATTGAATGTGGCTGAAATTCAAACCCTGCGGACGCACACCTAAGGCAACGCCCCACCATCTCCCATCTGTACCTTGTACGATGTCAGCATGGCCGGTATCTTGGACGGCATTGGTAAGATCTGCTCCGTTAAACAAAATAGGGTTCTTAGGATTGTTTTCCCAGGGCCCGGATGGTGATGGTCCGCGTTGGATGGTAGACCGATGGTGGACATCTGTGCCACCTAATATTTCCATTGATTTAAACAACGGAAATCGTATGTAAAAGCGCTATGTATTCACCTTCGGCAATCAAGAGATAGTATGTTTCGTTGATGTGATACACATGTGGACCTTCTGGCCGAGCTGACGCATCGTCGGGCAATGTTCCTGCAAAAATCATCCGGGCTGGCGTAAGAGAATTACCGGTCCCAAGGTCAATCTTATTCTGCCATATACCTAGAGAATCGTCACACGGAAGAAAGCGAGCTATAGGTAGACAGACCGTAAATCTTGTCGATCGCATTGTTGATGCCGCTCCACGTCAAAAATACCTGGTTGGTAGATTGAGATCAGTAGAGCGTGAGGACACGAAGGACTGACATCACCATTAGTGTCCCAAAAGAGGTCTGCATCGTAGCCCAATGCGTCTGATCGACGTGTTCATGTACAGGTGCCTCAGTAATAAACAGGAAACCCACCAAAATAGACGGGATCACTCCAGATGCCTGAGAATATATCCTTCGTTTTTACATAGAAAGAGCGCGGAAATAGACGAAACTCGGCTTTAGAAAGTGTCAACAGAACCCCGATGTGATGAGGTAAGGGGCGTACAAGTATAAACATATCTCGTGGTCGATGTCAAGTAGAACGTTCCATCGTGATATCTGAGGCCAGGAGCCCATACACCTGTATACCTCGAATTAATCAGAAACTGACTCGAATTCGGTGAATTGACTTGCCCGCGTCTGAAGGAGTACCGAACAAGCTTAGTTGCGAGGGCCGAGTCAGTGCATGACCAATAAGCGTCCAAGAAACTAAGTCTTTGCTGTGATATATGGGATGTCCAGGATAATACTCGAACGTGGAGGTTGCAATAAAATAATCAGAGCCAACGCAGACGATGCTTGGGTCAGGATTCCAGCCAGGTAGGATCGGGTTGATTAGGCCATAGGCTGGAGATACTATTGCCGATGAGTTAGTTGGGAATGAAGCCCCAACGCAGAATTACTGACCAAGAAAGAAAAGGACAAGAAAACACGCAGTAAGGTGGCTCAAAGACGCCATGTGTTGCAAGACAAGAAAGCTGAAGGACAAAAGGTACATACGTTGAAGAATATGCAAGCCATGTCCATGCAAGATGGTCAGATGATCCCACCGAGCCGCACGAACTATTCAAGCAACAACGCGGGTCGCTAGGAGAGGCGACCCCGGCCCGGCTCTGTGGAACGCCACAAGAAATCCCTCTCGAAAAAGTCTCATTTCGTAGAAAAGAGAATCAGCACGAAGTCAGATAGTAAACTGTATATAAATCAAGTAAACAATTTCTAACAACGCATCAGAAGGGGGAAGTAACATCACCTATATATATTTGTGCCTGCTTGTCAATGCTTTATCGTCAGGTTCTGGGCCCACAGCGCCAGGGGCGCCTTGTCCTCCGAGGAAGTGGTAAAATCGTTCCTTTCGTTTGGGATCGCATAACTCACTGCTGTTGTCGATTTTCAGTTTTCTGCTTACAATATTCGTGCTGTCCGATAGCCTTGAACCTCCGCAATTGAGCCTCCTCGAACCGATCCAGACGTTTTCAATTATCCTTCCCGATCTCTCTGATCGACGCGCTCTCTAACACCGACCGACTCGGAACCTAATCGTCCCTCGCCCATGCAAAATTCATTGCATACTTCAGGGCCTACGACCTTGCCTACCGAGATTCTGTCCAGGATCTTTCTTCAGTGTACCGATATAGATGGCAGCTTAACCCCTTCCAATACTATAGATATACCGCTACTCTTAACCAAGATCTGCCGTTCATGGCGTAATGTCGCGATTGGAACTCGATCTCTCTGGTCCAGACTGTACCTCAGTATCAAGCCGAATGCAAGACATCAAACTGACATTGTCTCTACCTGGATAACAAGATCTGGTTCATGTCCACTCTCAATATACGTGATATGGAATGATCCACCGTACTTCTCCACCCATGCAATTCTCGATATCCTAGTACAGCACTCTCATCAATGGTGCAGTATGTACTTCTTTCTTCCACTGTCTGCATACGCAGCTCTCTTTCCTGCGCGCGGCAAACTTCAATCCCTGCGGGAACTGAGCCTGGGCACTCATGAGCTATTCGCTTCTGATCCCATCTTAGACGCGTTTGAGGTCGCACCACAGCTTAGATCGCTAGAGTGCGTCAATCTCCACCCGTACATGTTCAAATTTCCTTGGGCAAACCTATCACAGATACCAATCATGACAGTAACCATCAGCGACTCACTTGATATCTTGCGTCGAGCTCCGCGGCTCGAAAGTGGGTCATTCATATATACAGAAGAGCTCATCAAATTGCCGTTGCCTCCCCTTCAGTCTCTTCGACATGAGAATCTCAAAGAACTGGCTTTATTGGCGTCACCGTGGAACGAGGTCATCGACACGCAGGATCTGTTTAGGAATCTCATTGCGCCACATCTACGATCCCTTCGCATATGTAATATCGAGTGTCCAATTGGTGCTCATTTGTCCACCTTCCTGGCTAGCATCGGTGGCCTGGAGAGTCTTTATCTCCGTAAAACAGCGCTAACGGAAGACGAAATTATCAGGGTTCTAGAGCTGCTCCCGACATTGAAGCACCTGACTCTACTTTCGTCGTCCATGTTTACCATGGTGACTGATCTACTCCTTACCCGTCTCATCTGGCGCTCTGCATTGAAGCCGCCCCTCTTACCCAAGTTGGAGACCCTTGAGATCTCACTTCCTGGTCCCCTGACCGCAGCATTGACGGAGCTATTGGAATCCCGCTGGAAAGTGGATGAGGAGGCTTCGCCTGTTGCCCGACTTTTGGAGGTGAAGGTGGGTGCTAATGACGACTACGATGATGCTATTGTTCGTCGATTGGAATCATTGGCACAGGCGGGTATGAGGATCCTTATTGGGACCACAGATGTGCCCCTAGAAGACGGTCTGGAGTATCACTCTTCCTTTTAGGTATACAACCATGCAGTGCACTGTTCGTAGAGGTTCGGGTGACCCACATACAATGGCTGTGTCAGTGGTCGTCATGTTTGAGGTTCTTGCTGCATCACTTTTCCCGCCATACCTTGTAATGATCGTGCTACAGTCGATGTAATCAATTGGACAAGGCTGGAAAACGCCTTTTCAGTTACCGTTCGTCGTGATGAAGAACGTCAAACCCTCTTTAACCCCTGGGAAATCGAATCAAATCTTTCTAGTGCGATCTCTCATCCATAATTTGCAAGTCATTTTTCATTGATGGCACTACATTTTGAACCCCACTCGAGCGTGAAGGTTCTTTGCTCGCCATCCTCCTCGAGATAATTAGTCCCAGATACGGGCAACAAGAAGTGAGTGTAGGTCTGCGCTGCGCTCAGACCGTACAACCGTCGCGGTGAGAAAAGTGGTTCATATAGCAAGATTGACTGCACCCTTATCCTCTCAAGATGAGTAAGTAAGTCTCATTCATGTCCTGCGTCGTGGCATATACCAACAAGCTTCTTTCTAGATCTGCTACTGTATGTATATGTATGTCATTTCTTTCTGTCTCCCGCCACTTTATTATTCCCTCAATTCTTCTGGATTTATCTGGCGCGACCAAGTGCAAATCCGGAAAGGACAAAAACACTACACAATACCAAGGCAGGGATGGGGGCACCGCGGATTGAACGCGGGACCTTCAGAATGCTCAAGACAGAAGATCCGCTTCAGTCTGCTGCTCTCCCAACTGAGCTATGCCCCCTCTATTAATTGAAGTACAGTAGTACTGAGCAATTTACATATGAAAGCAAAGGGGTTGGGACTGCCATTTCGTTTTTTTTTTGTCGCAACGAAACTGGCGACAGCAACAATATAATTATACACAACCAACAGGATTTCAGTAGAGAATCTCGACGTTTTTTGATATTTTTTGTCACAATTTCTTTCAGGTAACCAGCCCTTTGTTAGCTGTGACAAAGGGAAATCTGGCAACGCAACGGCACCCTCCATCTCCCTCCACACATTCTGGTAACATTCCGATGATGCTCATTAATGGTGTGCAAAGCGGCCTTTTTTTCAACGAGACCAATGGAGGGAGACGCGTCAAGTCTTTGACCAGTGAACGCTAATGTCATGGTTGCAAAGACGCGTTGACAACAAGGGATTGACGTGTTGACGCGTTGCAAAAACACCCAAATATCGTATCAGAACTCAGAACTTGGACGAGTCGTCCAGCATCGGCAATGTCCGAGGGTCACGTGACTGCGAAGATGTTGCTGGGTCAATAGTGTTCACTTCTTTGACCATAGTTTGCCTGAAGCCAGACCGTATGTTCGACATGACTCTCTCTCTGCATGTTTCAGGCATTATGCATCAGCCCAAGAAATGTTTCATCGGATAGCATCCATCTGAGAGTGAGAGAAGAATCTCATGTTGATTGAACGACGAGCGAGTAACACTCATTGAGCATTCTGAGTCAGAGCATCCTCGTACTCGAGACAACATACACTGCAGAGCTCGATGCGATCAGCGACGACTCTGAAGAGACACAGACGACTCAAGCTCAGAAGAGGATCCTTGGTCAATTCTCAATCACCGATAGCTTCCAGAATCTACCGATGTATGTAGAAAGGGGCCGGACCTCGTTCCGTCGTGACGTAGAACTCAAACCGAAAAACTATGCTGCGATGATGAGGCAATTCTTTCTCGATGCGATTTCTCATCCAGATTCAAGTTCTCTTTCATTTACGGCGCTAAATTCTGACACCTAGTCGAGCGTGAACATTTTTCGATTACCAATCTCCTTGAGCTGGTCCCAGCTTTTTTTCTTGAGGAAGTAGGTTCAGGCCGTGCTACGCGAAGTAAATATGGTTCAGTAAGCAAGCTTGACTGCACTTTCACTGTCTCATCGAGACGAATCTCGTGTCCCGCGTCGTGGCTTATACTAACAGGCGTCTTATCTGCATGGCTCAGTCCAGATTTCAACATTGATCAAACACGACTCGTCGTATATAAATGTGTGTTTCCCCCCATTCGCCTGCACACCTCTCTTGGCGACCATCCATGGGCCACCTCCCTAGTATGACCTGCACGATAATCGTGGCCCAGCTCACTATAGCTACGGCGAAAGTATGTGCTGAGTAATTAGCTGCTGGCTCGAGAGAGATGTCATAAGTGGCACGTTCGAATCGCAGTACATGGACTTCGCCAAGACAATTCTAGCTCAATAACAATACAAGGAGCGTTAGACTCTTGTAAAACCGTAGCAGAATTCGGATTGATTGGGAATAAAGAGTTTTGGACAAAACAAGAGTTATTGTTGACTGGGTGATCAAAAGGGTCTCAGCTGTTGTCTAGTTGCACCCATGGACCCACTGGCGTCCACAATTGACACAATTGGCAATCAATACATCATCCCATCGCTGGAAGCATATATATGAAACGTCTGTGAAAGCAGTCAACGGTAACTGACTTGAAATCCGCCTTTTTTACTCTGAAGCAGTCTCCGCGTATCCTGAGTCTGCCTCTAGGTGTTGATCACCCGAAGCATTTCATTCGCTTTTATCTCACCACAACCATTTCACTTTCCACTTTCTACTAGGTCTATCGTCCTCTTCACTGTAGATCATCCACTCGTTACGATGACTGCAAGTTCGCATACAGCCGCTTGTAAACGCGTTAAAACTGGCTCAAACGTCAGTACAGAGATGCCTATGCCGAAAGAACTTAAATTCAAGGAGATCGATACTCGAGCTCAAAAGGCTGGGAGACGTTCCATGATATATCTCATGGACTTCTTCGATTCTTGCCTGCCGTCAATGGTCGCACCTAGGAAACACATCAACTCTAAAGGGACTCGGGAATTCGGGTTCTATGACAGGCATCTCGATGAACATCTCAGACTTACCAGAGTGATTTGCCAGCCCAACCTGGCATGTGATCTTGCAGAGGTTGCAGAAGTCGCTTTGAACTCTTATCTGGAGGCATATGAATATCTTCCTCCAATCATTGATGATGTATCGAACTCATTTCCAGGCCCTAAGAAAAGGGACGAGGCTTTGTTAAAGTCCGAATTCGAGCGATGTGTGAACGAGTCTTGCGTTCAGCGCACCTATGCCGCTACGACTGCCAAACACTGCACTGTTGTGGCCGCGACTTTAGAATTCCAGCTGTCGCGCTGGACCGAAGGAATGCTTTTATGGGACCTTAATCCAGAAAAGGGACACACGCAGGCCGTGGCCGATGGCTTTCTTAAGCTCAGAGACCTTTCTGAGGAACCTACAGACGTTAACCTATCACCTCGCTCAGATCTTTACCTCTGTACACAGAAAAATTTCGCGAAAGGTCTCGGTATCTGGGAATTTAAGAGTTTGAAGGCGGGTGACAAGGACGTCCTTAATGCAATCTTGGCTCACTCAAAATTGCCTAACTTTCCCTGGGAATCATGCAACCATCGTAAAATTTGTAAGCTGATGTGTGGAGATAAAAGCAATTCTAAGGCCTGCAGTGAAGGCTCAGACGGGTCTCAATCAATATGGGAAAGGACTGGACCAGACGCAGATCCGCCAGTAGTAGCATGTTCATCGAACTCTTCGCATACCAACGATACCGAAGTGACGATTCCAAGGCTCATCATGGAGAAAGCTAGAAGGATGCTACAACAAGTAAGTCATGAATATCATGATATCCATCAGACTGAGGCTTAAGTAGATTAGATCTGGTCTGAAATGGTCAAAACGGACACTACCTTTGCTTGCTTTAATACCGGTATCAACGAGTTGATTTTAAAGCGCAACAGGAATGAAAACGCCCTCTACATTTCCTCGATCATGGGCACTGACCGACCAGGGTATTTCAAACAACAGACTGGCTTGTACATTGCTATGCTGCGGGATGCAAAGCAACGGACTGTGCAGATCAAGAACAGTCCTCCCCCTACGTGGCAGGATAGTCCCCCTTCGCCAGCGGGTGTGGGAGCCGGGGTTCTTCTCACTCCAGACGAGGTTCGTACTGATACTTCTTCCGCGCAAGAAAATGTGCGATGAGTACAATCATTCGACAGAAACAAGAAAGTATCCTCAGTGAAGTCAAATCACGACCTTGGCTCATCTTGAGACCACCCCGACAAAAGGCTACATGTTTCACATTTTGCAAAGATTCACCATATGACCGCGTTGATCCACGAACATTCCTTCGATCCGACCCGGCACCAGACTACAATATTGACGCTCGGCACGTTTTAGTGACTGCGGAGCCCGAGGAGATTGCATCCATGGGAAGCATCAGCGTTGACGGAGTTAAATTCATAGGCTGCTCGTTGCTGCATTCAAGAAATGTTTATACGAAACACGCCAATTACGACTTGGAATCAAGAAAAAGGCTTCAATGGGAGGCTGCCGTCTATTCAGAATTGAGCAGACTTGGAACTAATGGATGCATACCCGAATTCTTCGGATTTTTCCGACATGCAAATATTGAGAGAGACGGGAAGAAACCTACGGCTGGATACCTGACGCTTCTCCTAGAGCATACTGGAACCTCGCTTGCCCAGCTTCCGCATGCAACCTGGTCAGATGTCGCGTATGTGCTCTACCCCTTGAACCTCACCCGTACTCACGTTAAGTTCTTACAGCGACAAATGCCATCAAGTGTTGAATCAGATTCATGCAGTCGGCTTCTGTCATGGCAATATTTCTCTAGAACATATTATTTGTCAAGACGATAAAATCACCTTCGTCAGCCTTGGGCGAGCAATTTTCAATCCCGATGAGGCGATCAAGAAAAAGGAACATGATGATCTCGACGTTATTTTGGCCAGCTATTCTCTCAAACGAAAATCTGCAGATGAATAAAAGGAGCAATAAGGAGGGCAGATGCGGCACATTAATATTCTGAGCTATTTGATGAATCATGTGACTTTATTACATAATCGCCTGTTGAATTTCGTATATGGTTGTGAAAGTAATTGCCAACACTCGGCCACCATATCATATCATAAAGTTCTCTCTCCTTATTGGGTTTTTTTACCTCAAGACTGACTAGAGTGTGTCAGATGCTGTGTAACTGATCTACTCAATGCGGGGCAACAGTTCGTATGATATTCTTCCAGAGGCAGTCCAATTCTTCCTCAATTCAAACCCTCCGCGATGTACCAACAACGAAATTTCTGAAGTCCCCGGACTTAAGCCTCCTTCATTGTTCTATGAAAGACACCTCGATACCCGATTAATGCTTAAAAAAGTGCAAGTTGTACCTTTGGAACATCTTCTATCCAGAGTTGTCGATCTGACCCTTGAGTCAGCTGCTATCCAGCATACTGTGTTTCCAAAAGTTCAAAAAGACGATGTCTTTCACGAGTTAGACTCACGTGAAACCATTACATTGTCGAACGATGCGGCACGTGTCGCCACAGCGTACAGAGATACGACGTCATTATTATCTCGTGTTCTAACATCCACTCTCCTCTTCCACCCCCGAGCACCTCGATGGTATGGATCTACCTTGGAATGGGGAGACATGAACCTAGGTACCCATCATTCTACGGCATCTCTGAACTGCTATGGTCTCGATATCCGGTCTTTTTGTTTGTTATCAAAGAATGTGCAAGACGTTATAGATAATGAGACCCGCGAACTCATCGGAGACTTGAATAAATATTACCGTCCATTAGCATGGTGGGAAATTTTTTCTTTCTCTGAAGAAGCGAAAGCTCTTCTTGCAGACTTCGACAGAATTGCCTCAGCTGGCACCTTTGATGGGTCA